GAGAGAGAGAGAGAGAGAGAGAGAGATATTATATTTTAAAAGACCACACCAATCCCAACATGCCCGGTCACTATGCAGCCACAGAAAGCTCAGCAGGAACACAAACCAGCATCACCTGATCAGAAGCCCAGAGGCATTATAGAATTACACTGAACAGAAAACGACCATCTCTGATGTTTACGTTAGAATCAATTCATTAGCTCCCAGTCTTAAGTATTTCCTAATTTTACTAACCAATAAGTTTGGTATAATGTGAAAATGACTTTTACTTGTTATTACTAGATAATGAGATAATTTACTTATAAAGGAATTGTTATACTGTCATGTGGCTAGCTATCAATGCTCGAGATCAACATCTTGACAACAAAACATAAAACAAAAGTGTAAGAGTCAAATCAAAACATTTAAATTCATGGAATTTTCTTAATTTTGTGTTGTAGAAACATCATGTAGAATAAGCCAGAAAAAGTATTCCAATAGATGGAAATTAAAATCAGTAACTTTTTGCACTTACGAGATGGCATCCACCATTGCCAGGCCCATCCTGATGGAACAGGCAGCATGGTCTCCCCTGTATTCTGGAAGTCCACAGATGCAGTAATAGCAGTCTCCCAGGATCTTGATCCTCAATTGATGATATTTCTGACAGAAATGTACACTGAGCTTAATTAAACAGAGAAAGAGAATACATATACACACACACCTCTATCTGTCTGTCTGTCTAAGTGTTTGGAGATAGACCCAGATTACAACATACACAGGCTTTTTAAACATCTTTTGGGGTTGGGGGGGAGGGGGGGTTCTCTACATTCTCTATTGCTACAGCTAATGTGATGTAAAATCTCCTTGTTTTCTGTAAAGGAAAGTGTTTTCTCTATTTTGTTTGAAAAATGAAGTGGAAGTCTTTATCTTCCCCAAGATTTAAAATCTCTGCTGATCTTCTGTTTTGGACATGTCTTTTCTTCTGTAAAATGAAGAGTCTTTTTGTTGTTCTATTAGCTTGAGTTACAGTTAAGTCCAAAACATGAACATACCTGGCTGATTTTGAGTTAAAGCAGTCTTTTAATTATAATATTTGTTTCAACAAATTTGAGAACATCCACCATACAGTCTGGACTGGAATGAGAAGGATAATCTGTGGAAAGAACTACAGATAAAGGTGATGGTGAGGAGGCCCCTGCCTTTCCAGCAGAGGCATTCAGAGGTCTCTTTGCTGGTTCCAACACCTGCAGAACTTTGTGTTTCCTCAGGACGACCTCCAGGGGGTCTGCCTAAAATGTGCCCCAATGAGACAACTCCCATAACCTCTTTGTGGAATCCTCCAACCACACAGCCATCCTCCATAGACTCTTAATTGGATCCTCTGGTCATCCATCTGAATTCCATTGACTTCACCCTCCTGAACTCTGCTTATGTTTTTGTTGTTTCTCGCCCTCCTTCTGTGGCTGCCCACATGTTGGTTGCCTCATTCTCTTTGTTGTTTCTGATGAATCCATTAATCTTTACATACTGCCCTGTACAGTACTGAACGATGGCTAGTGCCCTTCCCCAGCAACCATTACCAAATGGTAAACAACCGGGGACAAAAATAGACTTTACACAGACTCATTGTGCCCACTGCTGAAAAGTTTTTTTTATCTTCCAGAATCCAGTTATCAAACTGAATGTTTCCTAAGTATAGGGCTTCACATTTTCAGGGAATTCTCTCAGTAAAGATGTTATTTAGGTAAACACATATCTGCTCCCATAATACTTTAATCACCGGACAACCCCAGAAGATATGATTTGCCCTATTTGATCCACAGAGTCTCCAACAGGTGTCTCCGATCCCCCGATGTCTTTTCTGGAGTCACAAAATATTAAACCGTGTTTTTCCAATAGAATTCTCTCCGTGTGTTGGAGATCAAGATCATCCAGTGTAATTCGTTGATCTGTTCCCAGCTGTTCCCATGAGATAGATCTATTTCCTTCTTTTATCCACTTGTTTCTTATGTAGTTTATGTCAACTTGTTTAGAAGATAGAATACCATTAAAACATCCTGGTTTAGGGTGCTGTGGTGGCGCAGGGATGAAGCTTCTAAGGCCTCACTACGTGTATTGAGGCCTTAGTCCTCATGCCGGTGGTCGCAGGTTTGATTCCCAGCCTGGCGACATTTGCTGCATGTCTTCCCCCTCTCTCATAACCCTCTTTCCTGTCAAGCTACTTTCAACTAAAGGCCACTAGAGCCAAAACCTTTAGAAAAAAGTCCTGGTTTGTTTTTTTTCCCCAATTGTCATGTATATTTAGTTTGAAATAGGCCCTAGCTTACAGATATCTGAACAAGTCATCCTTTTCCAACCCATTAGATTTCTGAAGTTGCTCAAAACTCTGAAACACTCCCTTCTGGGTAAAGGTATAGTAAGTGGCTAATCCTTTTTGGATCCATCCTCTAAATTTCCCATCAATCTGTTTTAGTTTAAAAGCTTAATCAAAGGCACACCATATGAGAATTTTTATCTGAACATCTAATTTTCAAAGTTAAACTACCTTTCTCCAAGAATCCAGCATTGTGTGTAGCATTACTCAGCCCCTCTTGTAAATCCTTGTCCATTAATACTGATATTAAAGATATTCCTTCCACTGTTGTGCCTCCCATATCTTTTTATCTTGCATCATAAGATGGAGAACATAGACAAACCACTGGTCTTAACTGAGCTGACAGGTAACAGACCATTGGTAAGGGTAGGGTAGACCAGTACATTGGGAAGACCCAGTCCACCTTTCTTTAACTGCAGGGTTCTGTACCTCACTCTAGCCTTTTTACCCTGCCAAATATACTGAGATATTAATCTGTCCCACTCTATGAATAGCCTGTTCAGCCCCCTCTGGAACACCACAGATCCTGACATTCTCTCTCCTAGATCGTCTCTCCAGGTCCACCAGCTTATCCTCCAGACTCCTGTGACTTTAGCAGCTCTGCTACCACTTCCTCCATGTTTTGGGTTCGCTCCTCCGTCTCCTCCAGCTGCTCCTCTACTTCACTAATCCTTGTGTTTGCTTTTTGTAAATAAATAAATGCATAAATAAATCTACATTGATTGATACCATGCAACCCTATTGATATTTTAGACTGACTGTAAAGATGAATTTTGTGTGGAATGATTGGTTATGCCAAAACAAATTTTTTCAAAAGCTACAAAAAGTTATTGCTTGCTTACTGAACTCAAAGATTTGTATGTGTCCTGAAAATGGCTTACATAATTTCAATTCAAGTAATGTTATTAAGCACTTCACATAAAATTACTTGGAGTTTATTTACTGGTCCCGTATTTCTGTTATTTTATTTTATTTTATTTTTTTTTTTTCAAAAATTTCTGACTTTTCTTAGCTTTGTTGTATAATAAGAACAGTTATTTCTTTGAGTGCCTATCTGTTTTTTAATAATGTATTTCATTTCCTCCATTTTATAAAACAAAAATGTCTCTGCACCTTGTAACAAAGTGTGAACACCATGTAACCTACCCACCTACACTTTTGGCTTTTAACCCAGAAGATAATTTTATTAAAATTTGTATTATTTCCTCATTTTTATTTTGTGCATTTTATATAGACTTTCTCTTTAATTTCATTGTTTTTTTTTATTAACTTTTATATTCTGCAATTAGATCAGAGCATGCTATATATAAAGTGATTTGATTAAAAGTTGCCTTGCTACTATGATAAAGACTGAATATGGATGAATTAAGGCCAATTAATATAAACAATATTGTATAGTGACATTAATTTTGGTAAGTCAAACCGTTAAAGCAATGTGCATCAAAATATGGATTAGTCTGGCTAGAATTTTGGCTAGATAGACTTTCTGCAAGTCAATCAAGCACAGCAATTATTGGGAGTTACATTAAAAAAATAATCTAATGTTGCACTCTCATGCTTCCTCTGCCCCTGTAATTAGAAGTTTTACAAACCAGTCAAAGAGGAGCAGGACATATTTGATTAATCAGTGATATTTAATCTGTAAGCAGAAACATAGTATGAGAAAAAAGCACAGCAAATAAAAAGAACATCAGGCTGGCTTTTTTTTTTTTTTTTGGAGGCGCACAAAAGTGTAGTACTTTATCTCAATGTAAAGAGAAATTATGGTCTTAACTTAAACTGTTTTCATAAATTAAACAAAACAAATCTCCAAGGCTGTATGAAAGCAGGTAACTCACAGCAGCCAGCTTGTCAAAGCGAGCAAAGAGCTCATTGAGCAGCTTCACCAGCTCCTGGGCACTGCAAGATGACGACAGCTGGGTGAAACCCACAATATCTGCAAACAAAATACTACATGACAACAAGACACACAAGACAGCATGTTACTACAACATGCTGCTCCAGAGCACAAATCTCTGAATATTTTTACACTTTTTTTAGAATTAAAAACATTTATGGCATGATAATACAATATTTAATAATAACTTATGGGATTACTTGTTAAATGAAATAATGTTTATAAGTAATCCATCTTCTTCCTATCCTATCTAACTCTTTATCACAGATATAAACAGTAAAAAAAAAAATTCCATTTCATAAGCCACTGGAGTGATGCATTATTGAAACTAAGAAGTACAGCTAAGACATATGGAGCTAAAACAGTCTCAATATTCACAAGTGCACAATGCATTTTTCCCACACGCACAGAATCAGATTTATGAATGCACAAAACAACTCAAATGCACAGAATGATTCATTTTTGCACAAACAACATTTACAAATGCACAGAAGGATTAATACTTAAATCTTTGATGCAAACACAAATACATCTTGACAGGGGTGCTGTCATGAGGTGCCGGTTTGTGAAGGTCACAATGAACGCAGGTCTAGGTTATGTAGAAAGTGATGATGAATTTAATGATGAAAGTAGCTCAAACAGTCCAGATCAGGCAGCACAACAGAGACAAAAAGCACACAGCTAAATACCGGTAGCAACTGACACAAAGACTGAACATGGAGCAAAGTAGTCTCAGGACTATACAGTTCGACTGAGAACTACTGACGACAACCGACAAGCTACATACAACTAGGATCTGACAACAGACAAAGACAACAAGTGGACTTAAATACACTGGAAGGGTGATCAGGGAACGAGACACACCTGGGAAACAATTAACGGGGAGGACAGGACATCACAGAGACCCACAGGGAACAGGATCACAACAAACACAGAAAAAACCCCAAAATAAACAGAAAACTCAAATCCTAACAGGCGCGGTATAGAGGGGGAAAGCGATGACAATTCTAGGGGCCCTGACTAACAGGGGGCCCTCCACAATTTAATGATTTATTTTTTGTTCATATACATTAAAAATAACAATAAAAAAATCAGGGCCTTGTCAATAACAAAATTGATCATATTGTATTTTCGAAGATTGTTTTTAGCAGTAAAAATTTAATGCTCCCACTTCCAGATCAAAAAACACTCATCCATATTTGCCCTGAACCCCCCTATCTGCGTTAAATGGTTCGTTCCTGCTTGGAGCTTCAGAGTGACGCTGTTAGCAGCAGTCAGTGGAAGACAAGAACTTCTGTTTGTACATTTCAAAGTGAGCATTAGCAGGTGGACTAACTATGTTAA